ACCCTTTCCAAAAAAATAGATTATCATGGAAAAGTTGTTTGACTTCCATAATTCCATTCAAAAAGTTAATATTTAATAGATGATAGATTCAGGGCCCACAATTTAAACAATTTCAAGTATTTATTTGTTTATTTTTACATAATTTGGGCTTCCAGCTCATGAAACCCACGAAAATGGGATTTCAAAAAATTAGAGTACTGTAGAGAAATCAGCCCAAATTTTGCAGGGCATGAATGTTTTAAACTGAGTGTGACACTAATCATCTACTAAACTCAAAGCACCTGCACAGGTTTCCCCAGGTGTCACTAGATTGCTTCAGTTTGGTTCAATTGTCTCAGTTCTGTTCAATATGGGAAAGACTGCAGACATAACTGGCCAGAAGACCATCATTGATACCCTCCATAGGATGAGTAAGCCACAAAAGTTCATAGCTAAGGAGGCTGGCTGTCCACAGAGTGCTGTGTCCAAGCATACCATTGGAAAGTCTAGTGGAAAGGCAAAATGTGTCAGGAGAAGATGCACCAGCAAAAGAGATGACCGTGGGCTTCAGCGGATTATCAAACAGAGAAGATTCCAGAATCTGGCAGAGATCCAGAAAGAGTGGAATGAGGCGGGAGTCACAGCTTCAAAAAAACACCACGTTCAGATGTATCCGGGAGATGGACTACAACTGTTGGATTCCTCAGTCCTCTTTTTCGATGAAAAAGTGTGACTTTCATTCGGAAATCAAGGTCCAAGGGTTTGGAGGAAAAAGGGTGAGGAACAGAACCCATTCTGCTTGAGGTCCAGTGTGAAATATCCACACTCAGTCATGATTTGAGGTGCAATGTCCGGTGCAGGTGTTGGTAAACTCTGCTTTCTTAAATCCAAGGTCACCGCAACAGTCTACCAGAATGTTTTAGAGGACTTCATGATTCCTTCTGCTGAGGATCTGTATGGAGATGCAGATTGCATCTTGCAGCAGGACCTGGCCCCTGCCCATGCTGCCAGAAGCACCAAAACCCGGTTTGATGTCCATGCCACAGTGCTTGACTGGCCAGCCAACTCGCCAGACCTAAACTCCATTGAGAATCCATGTGGTATTCTCAAGAGGAACATGAGGGGCACCAGACCCAACAACAAAGAAGAGCTGACAGCAAGCATCAAGGAAATCTGGGCTTCCATAACTCCCAGTCAATGCCACAGGCTGATTGACTCAATGCCACGTCACATCGAGGCAGTGATTTAGACAAAGAGATTCCCAACCAAGTATTGAATATTGACATATTGTTTTGAAAGTACCATATTTTGATTGATTTGTTGTAATCCTAATTTCTTTCTTCTTTTTCTGCAAAAACTGAGAAGTAGTGTGGGCTGATGTTGCCACAGTAATCTAATTTTTTTAATTCTTGCTTTCATGGGTTTCATGAGCTGGAAGACCAAAAGTAAAAATAAACAAATAAATACTTGAAATTGTTTAAATTGTGAGCCCTGAATCTTTCATTTATTACATATTAACTTTTTGAATGGAATTATGGAAGTCAAACAACTCTTCCATGATATTCAGATTTTTTGTAAAGGGTCTGTGTGTGTGTGCGTGTGTGCGTGCGTGCGTGTGTGTAAACTGGCTACCGCTATCATTTAAGGAAACTGTGCTTTCTAGTTTTTATAATACCTAAAAGTATAGTTTCTTCCGATGATTGGGGTGGCTAAAGAATAACCTGTGAAGACAGGCACATACATATGAATTTTATATTTAAAGTACAAAAGTTCTCTGTAACATGACCAAGGTCACAATTGGCCACCCCCTGGCGCCGCCATTGTGCCTGGTGGTGGATAAAATGTTTCCCTCCACTAACCAGGATTTGTCACTCTGTGCTGCCTCAGACAAGAAAAAGTTTTCTTGTATTTCCTGTTCAATTTCAGTCCAGAAACACACTCATCTTGAAAACTCCAAACATTCATTATTCAAATCCTTCAGTGATGGGGACATTGGTGTACCGCTTGTTTTAAGTTATTAAAACAAGCTAAAATGTTTGTGTGTTTGCTCTATTAAAACTTGTGACTCCCAGTAATCGTATACCAGCTAGCTTGTGTTAGCTTTGCAGTGGGATGACAACAAATGTGAGCTAGATTTAAATCATTTGTGGGCATTTTCTCTAAACTATCATCAACAATACAACAATGTATAGCGAATTCTCCAATGCTGCCAAAGATGAAGGGTAATAATGTTTTCACCAATGTCTGTGTCTATTCACTTGTCAGCAGCATTAGCAAAATATCTCATAAACCAGTGGATAGATTTTATTGAAACTCTTGAAAAGTCATTTAGTTAACCTCTGCAACTTATTGACTTTTGGAATCAACCCAATTCAAGATGTCCGCCACAGCCAGCTGACAATAAGAAACACAGGGATGACCATAGTCAAATACTTTTACAGATATGGAGCTAAAGTTTGGTGTGGTAGTAGCTGAGAGTCATCCTCTCATAGGATTTGGAAGTTCAAAAGTTTCACTGAAACAGTCAAACCTCCTTCTTTTAGTAAAAGATGATAAAACCGGGTATGAAAGGCGGTGGGCGTTATGAAAATCTTCAAGTCCTTTATTTAATTAAGCATTTTAATAAGAGGACAATAAATGCCTTTTCCTTCAGGCTCGTTTATTATGTCCGTGTGTGTGTGGGTGTGTTTTGAGCATCGCCTGGAGCTGGGACACGGCTCCCTCCTGCCAAGCTGGCAGGCGCACCTGTTCTTTTGCAGGTTTATTGGCTCGTGACACAGCGAAGCACGCCTGCACAGTAACGCTGGTGGGAAAACACAGGCTGGAGGCTGCACTCACTGGCACATCAACCCAGAGTCAGGTGGACTGATCTGGGACCACGTCACGCTGCAGTGAAATGCTACCTACATGTGGCTTCACATCTTTGTGAAATGTAAAACTGATTTAAGATGTTTGAGGAGCATATAAAGTGCTGATTCATCACTGGCCAGACGTCTGGTTTAAATCAGGACTGATGTCTAAATTGTACAGTTTTTGAATGTGTGTATTTTCTCTACAAGGATTGAAAAGTCCAAGCAAAACTTGCATCAAAATATACCTCTCGGTCAGAAATGGTGTGGTGAGATTTTAGTAAGATGCATCATTCAAAGTTTAAAATGGCCACAGAAAGTTGCATTTCATATCTTGCGTCGTTTTTACACAATCACTGTTAAGTCGTATGTTTTTTACAGGTTTTACCAGAAAATACTCTTCTTAATGTCTTCAAAGTTCATGCTCAATAATCCAGAAACATTTCAACAAAAACAAAAAAAACACCACATCCCTGACTGAACTTTGTTGGATTTATACCTGGATTATTGAGCATAAACTTTGATGCTATGAACCACTTTGGCTAGGACTGCCTCAGAGAAGTCGAAGGGGGGAGAGGGTGGGCCCCAGAAACCATCTTACATCATCAAACTTGTTGGTTCATACGTTAGTGTGCTGCTTGTGGGACTCCGTTTGTTGTGACTCCTCGGACTGACGAAGTCATTTGGATGAAGGACAAAATGTCTCAACAAAAAAAAGAAACCGTCCAGAGGCCCTGACTGAACTTTGTTGGGTCTTCTTAATGTCACTCGAATTTTGAAGCTGCCTGAACTTTATGAAACCTTTGCAAACAAACTTTTTTGACCCCAACAAGTTTCACACTTCTTATACAGTTGACACATCAATACGTGGGCATTTTTTGTGTTTGTGCATGGAGTTTGTCTCTCACTGCTCTGGAGCTTACGGTTTTCTCTCATTGTATTGCTGTGTAATAGTTTGTCGCAGGCGTATGTGGTACAGTACTCTTTACCACAACACATTGTAAATTTGTTGCACTTCACTGCGCAAGGATAATAAAAGCTTTCTGATTCTGACTGATGGCTGTCGACACCGTTACACAACTCCTTATCACAGATGGTCAGATTAGCTTTTGTACACATACGCTTTCTGTCTAGTTGAAATTTAATTGCAGGGAAATTACTATATTTATTGTTAAGGAGGCGGTGAAGGGCTGAGACTTCTAGCTACTGTGGAGAAGAAAAACAGATGTTTTGCAGTTACACATCAGTTTGTGTGCAGTTAAATGTAATTCTGCTAAATGTTGGAGCCGACTAAAGTGGCTTTTTTTATTGCTGAATGTGGAAAATAATTGTCACCTCTCACCAAAGGTGCATGTTTGTTTGTCTAAAGAGTTAGCAAAATATCTCATGAACGACGAAACAGATTTCAATGAAACTCTTCCAATGTAACCACTTTAATAACTACTGTCACATTTGTGCACGTTAGGTTTTCTGTTGTTTTCATGCTGCTTCTGTCGTAGTTTTTCTTGTCGTTTCTCATCTCTCTGTCAGCCCTCTGAGTATTTTTCCAGCCACCTCCACCTGTCCCCAATCAATAATCACCCCAGGTGTTTAATTGTCCCTCGTGTCTCTTTAAATATGGTGTCGTTTTGTGTGTCTCTTGTTGGTGTGTTATGTAGCTGTCTGGTTTTTTTTTCCCCTTCGAGTTTTTAGAAAAAAAAATTTTTATCCATGTGTGAGTATATCCTTGAGTTTTCAGTTGTGAGGTGTTTGTGCTGCCTTGTCAACCTCTTTGTTTTGGTTTTCTTGTGTAATAAATTAGTTTTTTTTTTTTATATTTGAGTTGTTTTGTTTGTTTGTTTTGCATTTGGTTTTTGATCCTCCAAATATGTTTTTTTTTTTTTTTTTTCCCCTTGTCCTGTCCGGCATTGTGATACTTAGAATTATTGTCTGAGTGTCAAAGTGATGCCCAACAGATTTACTTTCACAAGCA